AAACATTTTTAGAATTCACATGTTATTGCTGCCCTGCAGGTCAGGTCGGCCGGTGCCTGTGAAAGTGGACCTCTCTATGACAAAGAGGCTAGAAAGTAACCTGTGGAGTTTTGTTGTGTTGTCACTTAGATCTAAAAATAAATCTGTTACAGTTCTCACAGACACTCTTGGTTTTGAGGACTGTAGTGTGGACATTTTATCTCCATTTTCCCAGATATTTTATACTTGCCTGTGCTAAGCAGTTCAATTGCTACCACTGCAATTTTACAAAACTAGCAACAGACCAATTGGTCTTGTTTGTATATTTATATATATGTATATATATATATATATATATGTGTGTGTGTGTGTGTGTGTATGAAATGAGCTCTAGAGCCTTTAGATCACCCAAACTAACATCAATGAGATGCGTTTTGTAGGCAGGAGTGGAGGGATATGCTGAAGGGGAAGTGATAAGGAATTTGTTTATTTAAGGTTTGGACTGAGGCTGAAGTTAGAGCAGGAAATGAGCCTGGACCTGAGGCAGGGGGCACTTTTGTTATGTCTAAACCTTCCCAACCTGACACGTCTGATGCACACGCTGATTAGGAATCAGATGAAGGAGGCCACAAAAGGCTAAAGGATCCTGTGTATGTGTATTTATAACACTTTGGCAATAAACTATGACAACTGCTGGTACTCTGACCATTTTTGGATCAGTTGTCCCAAAGGGAAACAACAATCTAAAGTGGCAAGATAAATTTAAATTAGTGTGGACTATTCTAGTATTTTCTCAGAATAAAATAAACCATACAATTATACAAACTTATTAGACAGTATTTTACAGTCATAAGTCAACTGTGGTGGGTTGGTCTACAAAGATGCTGAGGTCTGCCTGTCATACCACCTTCTTTACTTCATTGTACATGCTGTTGTTTATTTTGTGTTGGATGTATGTGCTAGACACAACAATATAAGAACAAACATCAACAAAGTCAGCAGCAGTAAAACACCACTTCTGCCTGTCTGCAGTGATTGACTAAGACATGGTCATTAAACAGTGTATTCCTCGTGGCTTGTAATCAACTGTTTTTACAGCACCCCCTGCTGGGGTGAGGAGGCAGAGCTCCGTGCTCCGTGTTTGTAAACAACAACTACTACGTTGACAAATCATTATTAATAAAAATTTAATTATACTCTACCTTTTCCTCTGTGCAGTCACTGGTGCTGGTTAGTTGAAGAGAGACGAGGTTCTGGATAGACTTTAAGGATTAATATAATTAATACAGAATTTTTCTAGTCATTTTCTTTGACTGAATTTCCCCGTGTGGGATAAATAAAGTCGTATCTTATTTCAAGAGTTTTTGCGTAAATACATGTTAAGCATTAAATTAAAATGATCTCACCTGTGACAGAGACTGGTTACTAAGTACTGACTAGTTGTTTACAACATGCAGTTTAAACCTCAAATTGTAGGCAAAATGTATGGCAAGTACGCACATTCAGTAAAGTGACCGTGGTAAAAGCTTACCGTGTACAGAGGAGCGGACTGTTGGTGCAGCTGCTCTCTCCCGTAAATTCTCACAGGAAATTAGGTTGCGTCGCTATTTTCGTTTTTTTAAAACTCGTCTCAACCAAAAAAGTCGAAACTATAACGCGGATAAACTTTTCTCTTTGGCTTCGTGGGTTTTCCCTTGTCTAGAAAGAACATTTGCTGTTGTGCAGAGGGCTGGACTAGAACTGCTCCTGTTTAACAGAGCACAGGTAAGTCAGCAAGCAAGAACAACACCGAGCATCCGGTATAAACTTTCAGAATAAGATACGCCACTTTGTTAAATAAGTATGTTCTAAACACAAAACTGCTAACCTTGTTTACCAAAAGCAAAAATGGGATAGCTATAGACAAGTAATAAAAACTTAAAGGTACACAATTGAATTGATCTAAAGGTCTAATAATGACAAAAAACAGCGGTATATATCTATTTTGTCAGTTATATATTTGGCCAAGCAGAAAGAAATGCAGCTAATCTAGTGGGTTAACTAAGTCATTGTCCTTTTTGAATAATAATAATAATAATAATACGTTTTTGCAAGAAACAACACAGTTAAATTTGTTTCAAGACATTTCTAACAAAATTTGATTTGGAGTCTTTCACGCAAAAGGAAAATTTCCCCCTTCTACAGTACCTAAGATAATTGTACCCTGGCCACAAAAAAAGTAGCTGTTTCTCTATTTTTACATATTTTCTTGACTGATAGCACACTTTTATTTTAAATACATTGAAGACAGCTTCCACTTGTATGAGATTATTGGAGGCTTGACGCCGTGAACTGCTGTCAATTACCCCCCTGCACCCCATCCCTTATTACACACCTACACACACGGTGAGAGGGAGAAAAGACAGAGACATCAGTCCTAATAGTAGCAAACACAGTTGCACGTTGCTGCCTAAAGGACACAGTGAGTCTGTAGTAATCCATGTAATTAAAAACTGCTGAGTACAAACAGAACCATGCAAACCTCACCATATCCACCAAAGATCCAACAAAGGCACAAAATAAATAAAAAAATAGATGTTAAACCCAACCTCTCAAATACATTATGAGTTTTAAGCAAATTTAAGTAATTGCTAGACAAAGGATTCCGCCCAGCGTGTTTGAGCGGTAAACGGAGGCACAGATGACAACAACAGTTGGCAATAAAGATAAAGTAACCTACATTCACAACTTCTTCCAGCATAACCGGTTCCCTGCTGCCCTGTATTTTAAATATGTAGAACAAGGAGTAAGAACAAGTGAGTAACTCACCTCTGCTGCAGGAGTGCTTACATAAACAACAGTCAAGCCAGTTCTATTATTAAAAAAAACTGAGCAGAATATTAATTAATAACATTTATAAAACTATCATGCCCTACACGGAGTAATGCAGTTAGAATTAAAATGTAATGCTATCTTTTAAATAAAAAAAACCCCACTTCAGTGGGGTACACACACAGGGTGGACACACATGAAATCAACAATGCAGAGCACACTCCACTGTTTGTTTGAACGAAGTGGATTATTTACTTACATTTATAAAGTGTTTCTTAATTTTTAAAGAGCTTAGCTTCCATTTCCAAGGAAATTGGATTTAGTGAATTGGCTGACTTTGTGGAAATGGTGTGGCTCCAGCAATCAGGTCAGATTAGAAGGAAAGGAAATCACCCCTCACTTACGTGGCCTGTAGAGAATCCAAGAAGAGCTTCTACGGTCATTTATAATTCTGTTTTTGAAGTTGAACACAGCATGACCGCTTAAGTGGACTCCTAAAATCAAACCTCCACTGGAACATTATGTTTTTCCCTCCTCACACTCTTCCCTCCTGGCTGAGCCGCAGGGTGTGTGTGTGCACGTCCAAGATGTCAATCGTGGCCCAAGGCAGCGGACTCATGGGTAATTATGTTGTGTTAGTAGATAATGACCTCCTCTCTGAATCAGCCCAACTCTTTTAATTCTAAAACATGCCAGATGGAGATAACTGGTGAAAGCTAATTGGTCGGTGACGCTGCAACTCATTTGTTACAGAGAAGGCCTCTGGACCTCTGCTGTATCACAGCTCATTTCCTGGACGTAAATCTGCACTTGTTTCCATTCTAATGTATTATGGACATATGTGCCGACAAACGCCAGGGAAATGTGTGTTTTGGGCTTTTACCATCTGTGCTCTAATGGTCATCACATTCATTCTTAATATTCCCACATGTACGTTTGCCATTTGATTTACATGACTGTTTTCAGCAGTGTGAGCTTGACTCTGAGCATGGACCTCATATTTCACTCCTTGAGTTATTGAATTATTCTTGCCATATGTCTCCTCAGTGAGAGAACACTGCTGAATGCTTAAATGAAAATGTAAATGTAAAACTTATTAAAATACACACAGCAAGAATAGCAGACCAGAATAATACTACGGCAGACTCACAAAGAATTACTTCAGCATTTTCCAATGCTGCTCCTACCTTGTTTTAGCAAGGAACTGATCATTTCAAATTAACATGCAATCGTTAGCCACCACGTCATTTGGAAAAACTGACAAATAGAGAGAAATAGAGGCTTTGAAATCAAATCTGGCCTTTGGGATGATTAGGTTCTTATGTAAAAAGCACAGGAAGAAAAATAAGAGCATTAAAACATGTCAGGAGGCAGAAGTATCTTCTGATGTCTAACAGAAGCTGCAGTTCTTCCTCTTTACTGGAGGAGTTGTAGAGAGGCAGCTGAACAGAGCACAATGTTTTAATGGTTTCTAAAGGGACGAGCGAGTCAATCATAAATGGCATTTCCATACGTTTAGTAACAGTCAGTAACCGTCTACAGCTGTCCCCTCATTGCTAATCTACACAGACAGATGGTGTATATTTATAATGGGTGATGTCATAACACACATTCTGTTCAAAGGCTCAAATCTAGGATCGGGGCAGGTCTTTTGATGAGAATATTAACATGTTATTCATGAGTAACTGCAAAACATGTCACTTGGGATATATACTGACATTTTAATAGGCCTAAGATGGCTGAATTATGGCCCAATCTTGATCCAACATAGGGTCTTGTGGGAGTACTGCACATATTTTGAATCCCATGACAATCCATGCAAGTTTGTCTGAACCAAAACTAGGTTTAAAATGGCATTCACCCAAAGAATCTGTAGTCCAATCATAGTTGTTGTGTCATCTGGCCTATACTTCTAATTAAACTCAAATGTTGAATTAATTTATACTTGATTTAAACAACAACACATCCCAGTTGTTTGTCTTGGACGTGATGTGGGCCACAAACTAAAGTTTTCAAAAATGCACCAAATCTGTGTCTTCATAGGTGACATTGAGGATTGCACATCGCCAAGAACACACTGCACATTTGCAGCGACAGACCTACATTTGTCTAAAGA